TTGACATTTCTTTGAAGCTTGAACTACTAAATTTCATTTGTCTGAATGGTTCTATGTTATCTTTTTCTTAGTGGTGCAAGTGTTTCAGATTACAGTGTCAGTTTCTATAAAGTACTTCAGTCTGTTGCCCTTCTGATGAAACAAAACTATTCATCATTAACTTATGTGTATTTTTTCTATTAACACTTAACACAGGAACAGACATCTATTATTTTTCCACTAAAACAAGAGTAGGATAGTTTTATCCTATCAGTATTGTATTTAAAAAGGTTAACATTTAAAAACAAAGAACCATTGTTTTCTTTGAAATCAAACTTCTTGCACATCTTAACCTTCCTTCTTCTGCCTGCGTTCCTCTGCCAATTTATTCAGAAATTTCTTTAATTTCTGATAATGAGGAAGGCTGCTGTAATGAGTATTCTTTGCAACGTCTTCATTTGTATAAAAGAGGGAACACAGCTTACAGTAAAACCCTGTTTTAGGTATCACATAGTCTATACCAACAGGAACATTAGGTTGGTATGGTCCAAAAAGATACCAGTGAAACTGCAGATGGCCAAAGTGATGAAAACAAGGAGGACTTTACAATCCCATTCGGGAGGATTTTGGGATCCATGAACTAGTGTGTTGAGTTCCGCCGCATTTACTGTGCGATTGCTAATTAGAAAATGGAGACGTGTGTTCCAGAAAGTAGTTGTGGGTTCAGCATGAAACAATACATGTGAAATGTATACGCAGGCCACACAGCAAGCTTTCCGAAGTAGTTTCAGCTCATAAATTTAATTAATAAGCGAGATCTCCCCACAACTACTTTAAAATTTCCACAGAACCTCTGCAAACTGACATCCTACGTCATCCGTTCCCTACACAGATCTTTCAAGGGCAACCAGAAGTTCTCTGGATCCAATCCAGCCCCTCTTTCTTTTTCTATCTTGCCTTCCTGGACTCCTCCGTCCTCCAGCTATCTTATTAACAAATCAAAATTCTCCCCAGCTGTTTTTTTACCTCCTTACGTGAACATGTTCAGCTTCCTACTATGATTTTTAATTTTTTTTATTTAGAACAGGGTATACGGGGTCTCGCTGCATAGATCGGACTCCTAAGGATCTTCCCATTTACAGCCTCCCAAGTGCGAGAGTACAAGAGTGCCACGTCCCGTCTCAATCCCCTCAGTCACCCTCTCAGTGGGCCCCAGGGCAGAGCCAGCATAGCAGGCTGGGGGATCAAACTCCAGGCCTCTGCATCTTTAATCCGCTGAGCTATTTGGCCGGGCATATTTTTAAAAATTCTTAATCCTGTACTGATGCCTATAATCCCAGCAGTCTGGGAGACTGAGGTAGAATAGCAAATTTGAGCCCAGTTTGAGCCATTTAGGGAAACTCAGTGTGAAAAACTAAATAAAGGTTGGGGAATGTAGCTAAGTGGGGAGACACTGAGTTCAATCTCAGTGTAGTAATGGGGGAGAGCTCACTGGTATAGAGTGTGATTTTGAGGGCCAACCAAATAGCTCAGGCGATTAAAGCACCTGCTTAGCCAGACATAGGGGCTGGGGATTCAATCCCTGGGCCTGCCATGCTGGCCCCGCCCCCGGGGCTCTCTGAGACTGCCATTTAGACTGAGCATGGTGGTGCACCTGTAATCCCAGCACTTGTGAGGCTGTAAACAGAATCACTATGAGTCCGATCTAGTAGTGAGACCCTGAACACCTTGTAGACCCTTCCCTAAATACAGAAGAAAAAAAAAAAACCAAAAATTTACAGAGTTTGATTTTGCCTAGCATGCAGACCCTTCATTCCTTCTCCATCACCCTCCTCCAAAAAAAAAGAAAGAAAGAAAGAAAGAAAGAAAGAAAGAAAGAAAGAAAGAAAGAAAGAAAATCAGTCCGTGCTTGCCCATTTTGTATACAAATCAAATACCTTGAGAAAACAGTTTGGATTCCAGAGAACTGGAAAGAGGAAATTTTGAGGTAACCCACTTACTCTAAAAGTTAAAATTGTTTGAATTGTTTATATGAAATTCATGTTACCGAGGCCAGGGAGATGGCTCAGTAGAATAAGCCCTTCCCTGGCAAGCACGAGGGTCTGAGTTCAATCCCTGGCTCTACCAAAAAGGAAAAAAGAAAAAATGAAATTCATGTTACCTAGAAAAGTTCAATGGGACTGGTGAGATGGCTCAGTGGTCTAAAGCACCTACTTAGAACAAGCTAAGCTAAGCAAAGCACAGGGACCGTGGTTCAATCCCCCAGCACCACATG